CTCCCTCTGGCTGGCCAAGAATCGTCTCCTCTCTTATTTATCTTGATAAGTGGACCTTCAGCCACTACAATACTAACCTCACTCCTTTGTAACAACTAAGGCAAAAATGTAATTAATTCCGAAAATCTTTTCAGGACCCCACCTTGATGTTTCGGGACCCCACTTTGGGTCCCGACCCCAACTTTGGGAAACACTGTATTAGAGTATCAAATACTGTATTTAAAGAGGTGTATGACGTTATATTCTTAGTTATGTACCTCAACACATCATAGAAACAGAAGATAAATATGTAAAAGATGAGTATAAAAATAACTTTATACATTTAAACTTACTTTTTCTGCTTTGTTTACCCATAGAGGAGGAACAGAAGCAATAAAAAGCCTGAAATTTATTCATATTTGCTCTTTTATGTGCGTATCACATAAACAAAACATGGCAATAATAAGGCTGAAATTTAATCAATGTGCATTTTTCGTGACATAACAGAAACTGGGCCAAAGAAAAGTTTCAAAGAAATGTTTTGAAAGCTCGCTCTGGATCTCTTTTAAATGTAAATCTGGTCATCAACAAGAAGTTTTTGCTGCTTCATGTTCAAAGATGTTTTTTTCTTGGCACATCATCTGCTCTTTTTTTTTTTTTTACCCAGACTGAAAAGAGCTTTGAAGGAGAAACTGTGTTGATTATTGGTAACAAGTTGCCCTTGCAGGTCTAAAACAGGAAGTCAGATCAGATGGAGCCCGATAAGCGTGCGAGATAACGACTTCGGGACCCGGCTGCAGTTTAACGTCATCTTCCTGTCTGACTTTGGTATTATGGGCTGCTGCAGGTGATGAAGACGTACCACATGTACAACGCCGAGATGATCAGCGCCGAAGCCAAGCTGCGGGAGGCGGAGCGTCAGGAGGGCCGCGTGAAAGGCGTGAGCGGGTCGGGCGGAGGGGTGGAGCCTGTGTTCGGCCTGCGGATAGAAGAGCGCCACCAGAGACGCAACGCCGCCCGCAAGATGGAGAAGATGAGGGAGAAGGTAAAAACAAACCAACGCAAAAAAGTTTGTCGTCTTCGTCGAAGTAAAAGTGTGTTTCTTCATCAGAGGAAGGCTAAATACTCCGAGAACAAACTGAAGACTCTGAAGGCCAGAAACGAGTATTTATTGACGATGGAGGCTACAAATGCCTCTGTGTTTAAGTACTACATCCACGATCTGCCCGACATCATCGACGTGAGTATAATTGATTGGTTTAAACCAATCAGGACCGTTCAGTTTTTAAACTTTTTCGTCCCGTTTCTGTTTCTCAGTGCTGTGACTTAGGGTACCACTCCAGTCTGAGCCGAGCTCTGAAGACCTACCTATCAGCCGAACTGAGCCTTGAAGCCTCCAGGAGGGCGGGTCTGGAGGTGCTGGAGGGGGCGGTGGAGAACCTGGACCCCGCCCGCGACCGCCAGCGTCTGCTGGGCCTTTACCCGACTGCCTTCTGCCCGCCACAGCGCTTCAGCTTCCAGGCCCACATGGGCGACACGGTTAGTGTGAAGTTAACATCAAAGGTTCCGTTTGCAGTGAATCAGGACCTACCTGAGAATAAACTGGACGTCTACGAGAACGGTGTTTTTTATCGTCTTGTCTTGTTGTTTCACTTCCTGTCAGGTGACCCAGATTGCCTCCCAGCCGCAGGTCCAGGCTGAGCTCACCCTCCGCCTCACTCAGCTGCAGACTCGCCTGGCGTCCCTGAAGATCGAGAACGAAGAGGTCAGAAATCCAAATTCAGGAACAAACTAACTTCTTATAAAGCTGTCGTTTTACATTTATATTTCTAAAAATATGAATTTGAAATGAAACTTTGGTACAAGTTTATATTGCAACCTGATAAATACACAGTACTTAACAGGTAAAAACTATGTACCCTGTTAGTATAGGGTAGCATCTTCAAAATACAGCCTGGTCCTAATAGGTACCTTGTACGTACTCAGTACGTATTAGGTACACACCTTTTCTATACGAGTTACACATCCAGAACATTACCCTTTACATATCAGGTACTAATCTATTATAGTACCCAATACATACCAGGTCCACACCCAGTACTTGACCCTATACATACCAGGTACACACCCAGGACTTGACCCTGTACTTGACCCTATACTTACCAGGTACACACCCAGTACATGACTCTATACATATCAGGTACACACCCAGTACTTGACCCTATACATACCAGGTACACACCCAGTACTTGACCCTATACATACCAGGTACACACCCAGTACTTGACCCTATACATATCAGGTACACACCCAGTACTTGACACTATACTTACCAGGTACACACCCAATACTTGACCCTATACATATCAGGTACACACCCAGTACTTGACCCTATACTTACCAGGTACACACCCAATACTTGACCCTATACATACCAGGTACACACCCAGTACATGACTCTATACATACCAGGTACACACCCAGTACTTGACCCTATACATACCAGGTACACACCCAGTACTTGACCCTATACATACTAGGTACACACCCAGTATATTACCCTATACATACCACATACAGATCTAGTATAGTACACTATGCATACCAGGTACACACCCAGTATATTACCCTATACATACCAGGTACACACCCAGTACTTGACTCTATACATACCAGGTACACACCCAGTATATTACCCTACACATACCACATACAGATCTAGTATAGTACACTATACATACCAGGTACAAATCTAGTARAGTACCCAATACATACCACTAAGACACACTTTACAGTACCCTATAAATACCAGGTACACACCTTGACCTCACCTTATACATTTAAGTTGTATTAGTATTTTTTTATATATTTCTACCAAAAACACTACAAGCTGCTTGATCAACTATCTTGGATATTAAGGACAAACTGTTTTGTCCCATCGTGTATTTATGTGTAATGTTAGTTTTATAGTAAGTTATTATCATATAACATGACTTTTTTTCTGCTTGTTCATTTTTCAGTTGAATTTTTTCCCACATTTTGTGACTTCTTTCTCACATAAAGGAAGSTGATGGTTTCTAACAGCTGTTTGACCAGCTGAAATATAAATGATGTAGGTGGAARCTGATTTGGGTTCATCCTCTGGAGACTCATTTTCATACCATCATCACTGCTGGATGTTTTTCTAACACATCAAAGAGGACACAAACCCTCACTGGTCACATGAAAACACGAGTCCTTCTGACAGTTTATGCATTTTTACAGGGTTAAGGTGATTTCTACAGCGTTAAAGGGGTGATAACGTAGCAGATGTAGCCTCTAAAAATAAAGCAGAGCGGTGTGAGAGCGGCTCGGTGCCGCAGTCTGTTGTCTCGAACAGAGGGCAGCTGTTAACTCAGCCTGAAGGGCATAAAAATGCTGAAGGAGTCGGGATTAATGAGCAGCATCTGCACGTCTCAGCAGCTTCCAACACACATGCAACCAAAACCCAATCATCATAAGCAAATAAAAACACTTTTACTTCATTATCCCTGCTGTAAAAACACACTTTACATAAGGAGGAACAAACAGTTGGGCACAACTGTACACACCCCCACCTTAAACATTTTAGGTAATTAAATTTGTCAATTAAACAATYACAGTTTATAATAAAGAATGCTGAATATCTTAAAATCTGCTGAAAAGGCTTTTTTTTTTGCAGTTCATAGCAGAAAATTCTTAATTGAGCTGCTTATTTTGAAGAATTGAGGACTGGATTAAGACTTTCCCACAGTTCTGGGTGACTCAAAAGCTAATCAACCATCCAGTATCTGCTGTAAAGCAGGAGTAAAATGGTTTCTCATTGGTTTCTAACCCCATCAGGTGAAGAAGACCTGGGGGGCGACACTGACCACCCTGCAGGACATGACGGTGCTGGACGACTGCGAYGTGTCCCAGAGCTTCACTCACAGCCCGTCCTCCGAGTCGGTCAAGTCCAGCGTGTCGGATGGCTACTTGAACAAGCCGAGCCTGGCCAAGAGACGAGCCAACCAGCAGGAGACCGAGCTCTTCTACTTCACTGTGAGGAAACGACAAATCTGTTAAACCTGTAGGACATAAAGACCGTCTCTGATCGGTCTCTGTCCACTCTGTTGTCTGCTGCTGTTTTGAATCCATTTTCTTAAACATGAACGTTAGATGGCACATTATTGAACAATGTGTCAGGATGGTTGTTACTCWGGAAGGAATTATAAAACAAGTCATCCAAGACATCAAAGAAAATATTTTAAAAAATACCCTTGTAGAGTTGTTAAGGGAGTCATTGGACTCATCCAGGGCTGCCCCTTGTCTCCGATCCAGTTTGTAGTGTTTATGGACAGGATCTCAGGGTGCAGTCRTGGAAAGGAGGTGGTCTGGTTTGGGAACCACGGGGTCTCATTTTATGTGGATGATGTGGCTCTATTCCAAAGAGATTCATTGTGTCTATACGTAATAGTCTTAAAGTTTGTTATATTAGACACTTGGATAATTTTATGTCTCTTCAGACATACCTGACATGTTTCAATGTGGTACTTCCATCTTCGTCGATGTGGTTCTGTTGGTGTCTTCGGCCCAAGACGTTCAGGTGTACTGGGACGATTATCTGCTGGGATGAGAGTCAATTCCTCTAAATCTGAGGCCATGGTTCTTGACTGGAAAAGGGTGGAATGACCTGCTCTACCTCAAGTTGAGGAGTTTAAGTATCTGGGTGTCTTGTTCATGAGTGATGGTAGGATGGAGCGGGAGATGGATCGACGGACTGGGGACTCGTCCTCAGCAATGAGGGCGTTGCTTCGGTCAGTCGTGGTGAAGAAAAAGCTAAGTCGAAAGGCAAAGCTCTGGATTTACTGGTTTGTCTACGTTCCAACCCTCACCTATGGTTGTGAGGGTTGGAAAGAACAAGATCCTGGATAGAAGCGGCCGAAACGAGCTTCCTTCATAGAATAGCCAGGCTCAGACAGAGAGATAGGATGTGGAGCTCTGTCATTCAGGGGGAACTCAAAGCAGAGTCGCTGCTCCTCCACATCGAAAGGAGTCGGTTGAGGTTGTTCATCTGATCAGGATGTCTCCTGGACGCMTCCCTTTAGGGCTGTTCCGGGCACATCCCACTGATAGGAGGCCTCGGGGAAAACCCAGGACTCGGTGAAGGGATTATGTGTCATCTCTGACCTGGGAATACCTCGGGGTTACAATAATTCCACCTCAGCTCTTTGGGTTTCATCTAACGGGGCAGGAGTAACTCTGTAAATGTCTATGGTTTCAGTGAATCACAGCATTTTCTTTCTGGTCTGATTTTCAATCCTCAGAAGTTCCGCGAGTACCTAGAGGGAAGTAATCTCATTTCCAAACTCCAGGCCAAACATGACATTTTAAAGAAAGCCTTAGCTGAAGGTGAGACTGACAGAAACTCATATTTCATGTTTTTATTTTTTGTTACGATACAGAYAATCTGCATTTCTGTCCTTTCCCCCTTTTTTTTGCTCCTGGCAGGATATAAAGCTGAACTTCTGACTACCAGGTGAGGCATTCAGTCATTTCCTCTTTAGGATAATAATAAGTCTTATTTCTCTCCACACCACTTTAGTTTGAACTCTGTGAAACCGAGACACTTGTCTTTCTCTTTGTTTCTTCTTCACTCCTCACAGTCGTGGGCGGAAGAACTCCCACAGCAAGCACCAGGTAGAGTTTCACCTGAGTCAGACTCCTGGTGGAGGGGGGATATTGCTTCGTTTGTGGTGATAGTTTTAAAATAAAGTTGGTATAAATACTGTAATGGACGAAGACAACTTGTCTTCAAGATAATTTAAATAAAAAAGTGATTTGATCCAATTAGTTTGCAATATTTAAGTGATTACCATAATCATCTTTCTCAAAGCCTCATGGCTGAGGTATGCAGTTGTTGTTGGACATCCTTTGCACTTTCCAGTACAACTTTTAATCAAGACTCATAAAATGACTAAATTAACTTGAGGTTGGCGCTCTGATTTTATCWATAGGATTCAACTAAAGCCATACCTCTGCTCGTGGAGAGCTGCATCCGCTACATCAACCTCCACGGTAAGTTTCACCTCCAAACACTGAATTTGCAGCTACTGTTCAACATGTAATTTATTATGAAGCCAAATTTGGGGCTTCCTTTTATAGTAATCCAAGCTGACAAGTTAAAAAGACCCTTCACTTCCATTTGTGAAAATAAAATTTGAAGTTTATGGGAGTTTAGGTGTGCACTCCCTGTCCTGCACTACCTGAGAAACACCTAAAATGTTCACATTTTGTTGTATAAACTGTATAAGAATGAGGAAACGATGGTAGAATCGAAAAATTAAGATAAACATTTTTTGTAAAATCTTCAAAAAATAGAACAAACTGTGATCAGAGATATAAAACCACAAGTTCAGTCATATAAAAAGTCCAACTATCTGTGACAAATTTAAAGTTTAAAGTTTGAAGGCTTTTATTTTGGAGTTAGATCTTTAGATCTCCAAAGAGGGACAGGTTTTCTTAAATTGTTATCTAAGGCAAGTTTTTTGTCCGTTTTATGATGTATCTTACCAAAAGCAAGAGCAGAAAAGTCCTGATGGAGAAATGTATTTCTGTTGATGTTTTATTTATAAGTTATGAGAGGAGTGGTGAAACTTAAATGGCTTCTTGTAATCAAAAAGGAAAAAATAAGTAGGTCCTCTGGATGGGTTCTTCTTTAGTGAAACGTTTCGTCTCTCCTCCAAGAGACTTYTTCAGTCTGATGAGTTTCAGGTGAACTGAGCCTTATAAGCACTGCCTCCACATGGTGGACAAACAGGTTAGTTAYATGCAAAAGAGGGCCATAGCCTAACAATAGGYTTGATTAGCTCTATTGTTCATAGAAAGTCATGTGCCCCATCACCTGACTTATTGGTTTGGATGCTTCGGCTGTGGTTATTTGGCGTTTTRAGTGTATGTAGTGAGTGCAAGCGGGGTTCAAMGTCCCCTTGTTTTTGTCTCTCTTTCCCTCTTTGTGTTGGGTATCATTGAGGCCCTAATTCACACCTTTTGCTCATAGGGGGCTGAGTCCTACTTGCAATAACAGCGTTGTAGGAGGAGGACAACTGGTTTCTTGTAATGTTTAAAATGTCTGAAACCTAACCCAATGTGACGATTCCTCACAGGTTTGCAGCATCAGGGGATATTCCGGGTGTCAGGGTCACAAGTCGAGATCAACGACATCAAGAACTCCTTTGAGAGAGGTGAGAGGTGAACCGAAAAAGTGAAAAAGTTTAAGAGTTGAAAGTGTTGGGTGAGGACGCCTCTCCTGTGTGGTGTCCAGGTAACGACCCGCTGATTGACGAGGAAAACAACCACGACATCAACTCTGTGGCCGGAGTGCTGAAGCTGTACTTCAGGGGTTTGGAGAACCCTCTGTTCCCCAAGGACAGGTTCAATGACCTCATCTCCTGCGTCCGTGAGTCCCGTCTGTTTGACGCCCACAGATTTTTGTTTGGAACACTGAGAAAAGAAGCCAGCTGGCGTTTTCAGGACACCTCACAACAACCATCTCATGCACGTTTCTTGCYGCAGGGATTGAAAACATGTACGAGAGAGCGCAGTGCATCCGTAAGATCCTGCTGGGCGTCCCGAGGGCGACCCTGGTGGTGACGCGCTACCTGTTCGCCTTCCTCAACCAGTGAGTATCCCTCTCATCTCACACTAACAGCTGTTTTCCGTTCCGATTTTCCCGGAAACGCCACGTCGTTTTAAACCTGACGGTAGGTGCGAGGGAGGAGGCGAGCCTCTTGTCGTGAGAGAGGTGGAGAAGTGCACGCTGGTGAGAGGCAATAAACCCGAGCTCATTTTGTCTCTGAAACCTCTCAAATAAATATAGACTGAAGTCACAGAGACGGAGAGGCAGGAAGTGTGATGTGCAGGTGTGATGTACCGCCGCATTAATCGCCGCGCCTGTTTGCAGAGATATGAGACGATTTCAGCTGCCGTGTTATTAAACTCCACYGTCGAGGAGAACACTTTTCATTTCATCAGTATTTCAGCTCAAATAAAAGCTGCAGCAACAGAGAGCGACTGAACAGAAGAGGGTGTTTTTATTTGTCATTAAACTCTGAAGATAACCCAGTTTTACAAATGTTAAGCTAAATTTTGGTTTGATGGTAGTTGAGGGTCGTTCCCAATGTGCAAAATCTTTTTTTAGACTTTAAGCATTTTAGTCAACCCTGTTTGTTAGTAAAATATCCAATGAACCGCTACATGGATTTTAATTAAACTCTCAGTAAATGTGACCCATCATATTGAAGTGAGAATAAAGTCAAATTTGGTCAAAATGACCTAATCACATTTTTAGATTCCTGGCCTTAAAAGCTACATTTTGAAACTCAGATCATCCTGATATAATAAATGAATCCAGAGATTTGACTTCATTTGTCTTGTTGGTTACGATGATACATTAATATTTGGTCTGAATCCTTATTTTATGTCATTTTAATGAGGAATTTTTGATGTCATTATAAAGCAAAAACCTCAAATAGAATGTGAATTTTGAAATTTCTTAACTGGAAAGAAACAGAAACTTTGCCAGCTCACAGTGAAAATCTCAAAATCTTAAGGCGTTTTTCCTCAAAATCAGGTTTTTTTTTGTTGCTAATCCTCAATAAAAGTGCTTCAGAATTTTATTTTAGGATTATATTTCAGTCAGTCCATTCAAATGATACACTGATGAGTCATTTATTCGTTACATTTTGACAAAATGCAATTTTTGCAAACGTTTTAATCAAAATATTGAATCTGCCTACATCCTACTTTTAGAGTTAATCCTCATTTTGGTTTGATGGTTCACAAGTATTGTTAATTTACGACTCATGGTAAGGTCAGTGTTCGACTCTAGTGGGGAAGTTTTAGTATCTGGGAGTGTTTGTTCCTGAGTGATGGTCTTGAGGACATTGCTCCGGTCTGTTGTGGTGACGAGCTGAAAGACAAAGCTCTACTGGTCGAGGTGTGGATCAGGACTGAAACCCCCCTGTTCTCCGTCAGTTTGTCTCAGTACAGCGACGAGAACATGATGGACGCCGGGAACCTGGCCATCGTGTTCGGCCCCACCCTCCTGCCGACGCCGGACGCTCTGGATCAGGTGGCCTGTCAGGCCCACGTCAACGAGGTGATAAAGACCGTCATCCTGAACCACGACAACATCTTCCCGGACACCAAGGAGCTCCCCGGCCCCGTTTATGAGAAGTGCATGACGGGCGACCAGTACTGGTGAGGCTCGAGATGCTTTTTTCCACTTTTTGTTTGGAATAATTTATTTTAGTTTAGTAGCTTGGAATGTGATGTTTGAGCAGTTTAAGTCCTAAAATATGCTGCGGGGTCACACTTTGGAGACCAAGCTGTCAGATTCTAATCCAGAATGTTGCTGAAACGACTTTGCTCCTCCTCATCCAGAGGCATTTTTGACATTTTATTGGAGCTGTAAAAATCCTCAGATTCTGTCTCCTGCTGCGTCCTCCTCCCTTTGTTCCCATATTGAAAGGACGGTTTGTCAGTCTGCTTCGATGCCTGATCCTCTCCTCCTCTTCCTCCCACCTCCTCCTCCTCTTCCTCCCTCCTCCTTCTCCTCTTCCCGCAGCGAGAGTCCGTTCAGCGAACCGGGAGCCCTGGAGGAGGCCGAGCCCGACGCCGGCACCGAGACCCAGACCAGCGACGAGGGTACGCCTGACCCGTGACCTTCACACAATCGCCCCGGCGCTCAACGCCGCTCTCCCGTCTCCTGGTGGAGAGGGGGTTGCCACGGCAACGACAGCCATGGAGATGCCACATCCCCCCCCCCTCTTCATCTCGCTTCTCCACACCCACCCGCCCCTTCCTCGCTCCTCTCATCTCATCTCATCTCATCTCATCTCCACCCAATGTGATAGTAAAGGCCGTCTCCTCCGTCCCCCCACACCTGCAGATGGCGAGGGCGTGGAGGCGGTGGCCCGGTTCGACTACGTGGGTCGATCGGGCCGCGAGCTGTCCTTTAAGAAGGGCGCGTCGCTGCAGCTGTTCCAGCGCGCGTCACATGACTGGTGGGAGGGCCGGCACAACGGGAGCCACGGCCTGGTGCCTCATCAGTACATCGTGGTGAAGGACAGGCGAGTTCACAGTCCCAAATGGTTTGTACACATCCGCTGAAAACTTTTACTCTTTTATGATTGACAAAATGTTTTTTACAGCACAGACAGAACACGTTTACGTTGCTTTAGCCTCAAATTTTTAAAAATATATTGTTTAATACAATAAATACTTGTTTAAGTTTTTAACCAAGAATTTAACAATAAAAAAACGAGTTCAACTTTTTAACGTATATTTAAAACAGTTTGAAAACACTAAACTGGTCAATTATAATACATAAATATTTATTTAAAAGCTGCAAAAAAAACCAAAAATAAAACCTGAACAAGAAAAAAATGCATAGCAAAAATAAATTTATATGAAAATATATACTTTATTTAAATCTATACAACAAAAAGGCAACATTTGTTCAGATATTTCTGCCTTTATTCACAAGATTTTATGAAATTTTGTTTATTTTAAAGGCACAGTGTGTAGGATTTTGTCAATTCTTTTAGCCGAAATTGAGATAATCACTAATGACAATAATAAAAAACATGTCTAATCATTGCAGACAAAGACCTTGTTTTATTATTTTTACCTTATAAAAAGCTGTTTATATCTCCATGGTCGCGGGTCGCCCTACAGGCAGCTGCCATCTTGCACCGCCATCTTGTCTACGAAGGCTCATGAAGGACAAACTGCGGTGGTGGTGCCAAAAACGGTTTTAGTTGTAATACTATAAATGTAATATTTGTTGTCTGTCATTGTAGCTGGGATAATTTTACTTATTAAAGCTCATAATCTTACCACTTCAAACGTCACTAGCCCTGAAGCTGCTGGTAGACATCGCGGTTGGAATTATCAAAGGTTTTTGACACCTGAGAGACACCGTAGMAACTCCTTTGTGTTTGGATGCGGGGGGTGGGGGTGGGGGGAGGACCAGGGAGGATGATTCAACCACTCAACCACTAGATGTCGCTGAAAACAAATCCTACACACTGTGACTTTTAACATCGAATTTCTCAAACTAAAAACAAATTTTTAAAAATGTATTTTAAAGTTTAGTTTTTAATATTTACTTTTATGATTTTAATGTGAAAAGTGCATTTAAATTTTTTATTTCATTGATTTATAAATTTGTTTGAAATTCCTATAAAGCAAACAAAAAATTTACCAGGTTTTGTTTTCATTTTTTATACAACAATATGAGGAATTTATCATGTTTTAAGTTAAGTGGACTTCAGAAATGTTAAATGGTGAAATTTAAAACAAAATGGTACAAAATGTGATTTTGAATTTTAATTTAAAACGCTGTTAATTAGTTTGAATATATATACTTTAAAGACTAACATGTTTTTGCTTTAAACTTAAACATTTCGACTTTTAACCTGATTCCTGTTTCTTCTTATTCATCATTATGAACATAAACATGCCATATTTGACATGAACCCAACATTAATTAGTCCATCTGAACTGAGCTCCTCAGATGGATCTGGTTCAAACTGGATCACCCGCTTGATTAAGTGACTCATTAGACTCGGCGAGTCTCCGGCCGCAGCACTTATCGATCCGTTAATTGATGATTGGTGTTGGTTCAGCAGCGATTTGTCCTGACGGAGTCTCCGCTCCGTGTCTCCAGGACCGACGCCATGTCGGACACGCTCAGTCAGAAGGCCGACAGCGACGGCGGGAGCAGCAGCACCGAAGACAAGCGGTCCAGAAGCGAGCTGAGCTCCCCGACCGACATACGGCCTCCGGAGAACTTCAACAGGTCTGTCAGCTGCTCAGGTTTTTTTTTTAAAGGAACTTCTTTCTCTCACCTCTAAAAATACCTGAGAATCTCATCAAGCTGCGTTCACAGCCGGTTCCCATGTGACCTGTTTTCCTGTCGCAGACTCCTGACACCTTCTTACTTCTGCTCAGTCAGTCCTAGCTGAACCAGAAACCAGAGATCAGGCAGAATTAAGGACGAAAATTATCATTTAAAGCCATAATAGCTGTGAAAATACACAACCTGTCGATGTACAAGTTGGAAATGGTGGACTGTCGTCTCTGGGTTGGGAATAAGGTTCTGCTTCAAGACAAAGAGTTTAAGAAGCTTTGGGTTTTATTAAAAAGTGAGAGAAGAATGGAGCAAGAGGTCAACAGATTGGTCTGTACTGGTCCATTGTGGTGAAGAGGAGCTGATTTATGGTACTGACGTTTGGGTAGTGACCAAAAAATCAGATGCAGGAGGTCTAAATGAGATGTCTCTGCAGGGTAGATGGACTCTCTTAGAGACAGACTTAGTACTTCAGTCCTCCAGGAAGGACTCCTCATACAGAGGAACCAGCTGAGGTTGGTCATCTAGTGAGGATGGACTCCGGACGCCTCCTTAGGGAGGTGTTGTGGACATGTTCAACTGGGAGAAGACCTAGGACGCTCTAAAGAGGCAGGACAGTATTATTGTTCTTTCTATGGGTGGCTTTGACCAAAGTTGCCAACCTGGGTCAGGTAAAGACCAGTCCTCACAGGTTCACCTTTATTAGCTGTTTAACCAGCCCATTCTCACTCCCAACTCATCACATATTGACGCTTTTCTCAAGGTTCCCTCTGCGTCCGGTTTTGACGCGTCGGGTACACCCCTAGCATCAGTTATTGAGGAGATGGGGCGGAATCCGTTGTCATAATTTCAGCAAGTGTAGAAAATGCACAAAAACTAACCATCCCAAAGCCTAAAATTACCTTTATTTGCTCTAGACATCCTATCCCTGATCCTAGTACCTAAAATTAACCATGAACTCTGATCCCTAATATTAACCATGGATCCCAACTCAAAGACCCCTATATTTTGCTTCCTGWTGCATCAAAACCAGATGCCGAGGGAACTCGGAAGTGCCTGGTGCATCAATAACTGACACAAAGGGATTACCCGACACGTCAAAATAAGACGCAGAGGGAACCTTGGAAAAGCACCAAYGTGAGACGAGTTGGGAGTGAGAATGTGTTAGTTTATCAGCTGGAGTCCATTGATTGATTGGTCTGACGTCATTTTTGGGTTGACTCTGGTCGTACTTCCTGTTTCACAGTCAMCGGAGGAAGCGGACCGACGGTCTCTTCCGCCGCCCTCTCTGCCGCTCCAACGACAACCACGGCAACGGGGGGATGATGGAGCGAAGCTCTCCGCCGGTGACGGGTCACTTCAGTCCCAGAGATCTGCTGCTGGGGCGGAGCCAGGGCATGACCCCGCCCCTCGACAGCCCGGAACGCCGCCGCCGCTCTGCTGCGGTCACCATGACGGTGAGCCGTCATGAATCCCTTCGGAGGCCGGAGGACACGCCCATTCGACGCTCGAGCAGCGGGCAGCATGTATTTGGCGACGCTCTTCGRTCCAGAACGATGGACGCAGACTCCCTGACTCAGGTAGGACACTTTTACCTCGATGGTTTTAGTAATATTTTTATATTTATCACAATATTTAAATAGATGCTGAGAGTTTTGACTGTTTTTGGTTGGACTTCCTGTCTCCAGGACATCGAGGAGACGGTGACGGTGGCTCTGGGGGAGCTCAGGCAGCTGGAGCGTCAGGGCTGCCGGCCGGCCCCCGACGTGGTCCTGGACACCCTGGAACAGGTGAAGAATGGCCCCGCCACGGCCTGCTCCTCCGAGTCCCCCAGCCCCCACAGCACGCCCAGCACTCCGGGGACACCCGGGACCCCMGGAACACCTGGGACTCCTGGAACTCCCTGCACACCCGGAACCCCGAGCCCCCTCAGTCCTCTGAGTCCGATCAGTCCCCTTCCAGGACCCCCACCCGGACCCCCCAGACCGGCCAACCCTTCCCCTGATGCCCTGGGCTCCTTCAAGCCTGTGGCAGCTGCTCGCATCGGGGCCCCGCTGCGACCACCGGCCCTGAGGCCCAAACCCGTGGTGCCGCCCAAGAGCAGCACCCCCCCTCTGCCCCCGCCGCTGGACAAATCCTGCACCATGTGAGCCAAACCGAGCCGAAAAACAGGCCGAATCAGGCCTACCCAGGCCAAAACTGGGCCAGAAGAGGAGATCAGGGTACCGCTTAATGATTCTAATCAACTGGAAGGTAGAAAAGGGTAGAAGAGAGGAAAAAAGGCTTTTAATGTAGTAATAAATTATAATCTATGACATGACCTATGATATGATATGATATTTCTGTGTCGTCAGGTTGGTGTGTTCTCTCTTGGTGTGTAGGAGTTTACTTTCTCCATGTATTGAAGCATTAATCAAAAGTTAGCTAAAAGAACTGCTGTTAACCAGCGACAGGACTGAGAGTAGGCGGAGCTCATACCAAACTGGGAAATGTAGTCCAGCTCCAGTTTAAAAAAAAAAGAGAAAAAGTAAAAACAAGAAAAAAAAGTAGTTTCAGTGAATGTCGTGTCACGAAGACACAGACTGGCTGCTGCATCTGCGACTAAATCGGGACGGGATGGTTCGACAACGTTTGTGTGACTTTAATTTTTCACTCAGCTGCTAATTTTTCACTTCTGAGGTGCATCGAAAAAACCTAACATCCAGCTATTCAATGAATGTTTTTTTAGCTTTTTAACGACTGTTCAGCCATCTTATTGAATGTTGGGTGGAGCAGCTGCGGCGGCGGCTCGCTCCGCTTGTTTTACAGCCTTCTTGCGTTGTTTTTTTTAGAACCTGGACCTGATCGGGAGGAGGGAGCTCTTTCTGAGTTTGTTCTCGTTTGTCTGAGTGTGTCTGTGTGCGCTCCGCTGCCCTCGTTATCGTGTTCTCCTGTAAGCACTAGAATAGATAATTCATGCCTGCCTTGAGTGCCACAACACGGAGAAAACTATACGAGTGCTAAAAGCATGCCACTTCCTGTGTGTGTGATTGTGTGTGAGAGAAAACAGCCGTGAGGGAAAAACGAAAAAGTTCACCGTCTTTCAATTTTAGGGTTACGTACAAAATGATCTGGCCTTTACCAGGTTTTAAAATATTTAAATCAAGTGAAGAAAAGTTATTCAACCATGTTATTTATTAAACTAAAACTAAAGCAGTAAGTGCCAAATTCACCCTGAAGGTCAGACTGTGCAGTGCTCAGAGAAATAAACTCCATTTTAGACTCTACAGGCCTCAGTTAACAGGAAACGGTAGTTAAGAGTCCAGGACCTCAACCTGACTGAATGAAAAGTGGCCCAAAACTCCTCCAGAACCATGTGAGAGATCAAAAAACTCAGCTCTGAGTTTTCTGCCTTTTTATGTTTGTTTGTCCACTTGGGGTTAGACCTTAATGATTTTAAACTCTGGTTAAGCCCAGATCAATTTTATTATGTCCAGAAACCCAAAAGCTGGAAGTGGGCGAACTTTTCTTTTCTCATGACTGTAATTGTTTACCTGCTCGTTACACTAAAGTCACTGATTAACCTTAACTTTCCAATAAGCTAACAGGGTGGGGCTGCGTGTGTAGATGCCCCAAAATCCACTTGAACAGCACACTGAATGTGGAGTGTTGAAGAGAAATATTGAGACGAGCTCTGTGTGTGTGTTGATTTTTGTTACCTTTTTTGGACCTATTTTGGTATATTCACCTACCTTGTCAGGACCGATAGTCCTTATGTGGACCAAAGCCTGGTCCTAATACGGTAAAACACCATTTCTTGATTAGGTTTGAGTTAGGGTTAGGCATAGACTACAGAAATAAATGGAGGTCAATACAATGTCCTAATAAGAATAGAAATATGAACGTGTGTGTGTGTGTGTGAGTGTACTTGGTTTTGTAACCTTTTTAAGACCTTTTCTGGTATTTTCACCTACCTTGTCAGGACCAGTGGTCCTTATGGGGACCAAAGCCTGGTCCAAATGGTGAAATGTCATTTTTGGTTAGGGTTGAGGTTTAGAGTTAGAGTTAGGGTTAAGCATGTACTGGTACCAGTTAGAGCTAGGGTTTGGTATGCATGGGTACCGGTTATAGCTAAGATTAAGGTTACCCTTGTACTGATAATGGCTAGAGCTAAGGCTAGCGCTAAGTTAGCCTTTTACTGGTACTGGTTAGAGCTAAGGCTAAGGTCAGCCTTGTACTGGTACTGGTTAGAGCTAAGGCTAAGTTTAGCCTTGTACTGGTACTGGTTAGACCTAAGGCTAGGGTCAGCCTCATACTGATACTGGTTAGAGCTAAGGCTAAGGTTAGCCTCATACTGGTACTGGTTAGAGCTAAGGCTAAGGTCAGCCTTGTACTGGTACTGGTTAGAGCTAAGGCTAAGGTTAGCCTCATACTGGTACTGGTTAGAGCTAAGGCTAAGGTCAGCTTTGTACTGGTACTGGTTAGACCTAAGGCTAAGTTTAGCCTTGTACTGGTACTGGTTAGACCTAAGGCTAAGGTCAGCCTTGTACTGGTACAGGTTAGAGCTAAGGCTAAGTTTAGCCTTGTACTGGTACTGGTTAGAGTTAAGGCTAAGGTCAGCCTTTTACTGGTACTGGTTAGACCTAAGGCTAAGTTTAGCTTTGTACTGGTACTGGTTAGACCTAAGGCTAGGGTCAGCCTTGAACTGTTTAGCACTAAGGCCAAAGTTACCCTTGTTTTGTTACTGTTTCAAGGCCAAGGTCAGCCTTGTACTAGAACTGGTACTGGTTTGACCTAAGGCTAACGTTAGCCTCATACTGAGACTGGTTATATACTGGTTTGACCTAAGGCTTGGACGGGTACTTGCTAGGATTAGGCATGTACTGGTTAGGTGTAGGTTTAGGGTTAGAGTATAGAAATGAATGGAAATCAATACAAGGTCCTAATATGGACATAAAAACAAAACTTGTGTGTGTGTTTTGGTGAAAGTGCCTCTTTTTTTTAAATCCTCATCTTGTTGAGAGTTGTGAATCCACTCACGCATGTCCTGAACGAAGAGCAGCAGCACTCTGAATGAAATAATCATAAAGTGTTTAGTAGATWCCCAACTTATGAAAACATTAACCCCATTGTGACATTGCACTTTGATGTATAGAATCGTGTACTTGGCATGTAGCATCATGACATGTTGGTGCATTTTAACTCAACGGGAGGTTTTCTTTGAATGTGTTTCATGATAACCGAAACATTTTTTGTTTGTTTGTTGGTGTTGCTGTATTTGAAAACTGAGCTTCCTGAAGTCGAGCTCATATAGCCAAATGGATTGTATCATCGTGTTGTATTTATAATATAAATAAACCTGAATCAATTAGCATTCAAGTCATCGATGAAACGAATCTCTCTCTGTAGGTTTCTGTGAAAGAAATCAATAAAACCTCCAACTCAGAATCAGATCAGCTTTCTGTCATTCAAACTGAATCCAAATGTCATGAATAATAGATTTAAAGTTCAGTTTTAAATATTTACAAAACCAGAGAATAATAAAAGCTGTTCTTACCTTTATGYCGACTTGCATTTCTTTGGTATGAGCTGCACAATAAACAAAACGTTATTTAAAGCTGATAAAGAGAATAAAAAACAATTTCATTTCAAACAGATGATTGTTGTTTTAGTAAAACACATAAAATCAGTTAATTTGTGCAAAAATTGGAAACTTTATTTGAGTTGAAGTGCAAAAAACGACAAAAAGGCATTAAAATTAAATGAACTACATCTAAAACAGGCAGTTGTTTTTGATTTACTGTCTCGTCTGAAACAAAGTCAAAGATTAGTTTGGATGTTTTTGGTCTGAAGGAATTGGACCGTGTCCAGCTCAGCCCTTTGAGCCTGGTTTGAGGATGCTGAAGGGTTTGGAGTTCCGCAGCGAGCCGGAGATCTCCTGCAGGAAGGCGGTGATGTGCTGCTCCTTCTCCGACTTCTTTCCATCGAAGATGACCACGAGAGTGAAGTGCAGCTCGGGTCGGGTGAGGTAGTAGGTGCTCTGGACCTTGTCGTCGTAGAACTGGACCACCTTGTCCAGGGTGTTGAGCTCGGCGGCGCGGTCGCCCATCATCATGATGACGTTGGGCCAGTGCGTGAGCGGCCGCTCGCCCGACGGCAGCGACACCACGGCGGGGAACTGCTCCACGCCCTTCGGCGCCTCCCGGTAGGACTGCGGGTGGTGGTACCCGTGGCCCTGGAAGCTCTCCGAGCCGCGGTTGTCGAACACCAGCGACACGTTGCTGGCGTCGTGTTTGCGGATGAAGGCGGATATCTTCCCGTAGAAGTCCGACGTGGTGCGAGCCGTCAGGGCCTTCATGTCGGTGGGCGTGGTTTGCCGGCTCAGAGCTTCGTGGAAGTAGAAGCTGAACTTGGCGAGCAGCGCCGAGTGGAAGCGCTGCAGCCAGACGTAGAGGTGGGGCGGCTGCACGGCCTTCTGGGACTGGCCCCCGAACAGGTGCTTGCGGGTTTCCCTCTGCCGCTGGAAGAGCTGCGCCCAGGCTGCGAGCTTGGACTGAGCGCCGTGCAGACTGAGCAGAGCCGGCAGGAAGTGCCACTCCGACACCTGAGCCTGGCAGCGCAGCAGCTGGGTCACCACGTCCACTTCGGTCTGGAAACCCTCCTCCACCCGGCCCAGGATCGGATGATGGAATCTACCAAAAACAGAGATTATGTGAAATTACATCTGTACATTAATAACAGACRACTGTGGAGTTATTATTATATTTATAGAAATAAATCACCTGGATTCAACATAAATCTACCAAACAACAAATTTTATTAACTCATCTAATGCAGAAACTCAGAATGTGACACATATTTAGGTAAAAGTCTTAATCCAGGCCTTTCCAAGCAGCTAATCTGTTTTATAATCTTAGAAACAGATTAACACTTCTACAAACATTCTTTTAGTTTTTTTATTTGGACTTTGGCTGCTTTTTCCACCAAGTTCCAACTTTTCTAGCTGATAATTTTCAAAGTAATGTTTTTAACTCCAACAGGGTTCCAACACATTTCAACTTTCAATGTTTCTAACTTACATGTACTAGTTTGTATCCATTCACCCTTAACATCTCCTTTTGTCTTTCATTTCTAAAAGCACAATACTCTGGCAGCTTGTAATAAGAATATTAGTATAATATATRTGACCCATCACATCGAAACGAGGAATAAGTCCAAAAGTTGTATATGGAGAAACAGGCAAATATAGTGTTTTAACTAAAATGTTAATAAAAATTGCATTTTGTCAAAATATAATGAATAAAAGCCTTATTAATGTATCATTTGAATGAACTGACTGAA